GAGAGAGAGAGAGAGCTTAAACAATCCGCACTGAGGGGAATTCTTAATTTTTGGGTTTTTTCAGTAGTAGGATTTGGTAGGATTCCAACTTAGGATGCAGTGTTGCAACATGCACCACCTTAACCAACCCAGCCCATGCTCAAATCCTTTGTCTCAAGAACTTGCGATGCAGTATTGCAACATCCAACACCTTAACCAGCCCAATGCATTCTCAAATCCTTTGTCTCAAACTGGTTCTTGCAAGAAATATGTTCTTTTAGTGGACCATTCTCCGACCTATGTTAGCATCTTCGATTCATATCTATTTCATTTGTTTCTCGTGTTCTGAGTTTCTCCATTGAATTTACTTTTTGCTAGGACAATAACAAGGCATATTATACCATATGACACGTAGCATTTTGTTTGTGACAGTCAAGAGAATGAGAGACTTCTGAAAGTTGCAGTTACAGTGGCAGTGATAACATGTACATTAATATCTGACACATAACAATTAATATCGAACTGGAATTTTGTGTTCATTACCTAGACTGAAGGTCCTTCCATTGTTCAAAATTTGATTATAATCTGATGTACCATTGTCTATAATGAGCTCGTTCAAGTTCCCTATTTACTACAGCCTGTGAAACAGTAGCACCAGAGAGAACTTTGAGGTTGTAGAGAGAAATCGTCACTATGTGCTCTTTGACATTCTTGGAATCTCTCTAGGGTTTCAAGTCCTCACGGAAGGAGGTTCAAGGTGAAGCTCGGGACTCAAGCTTAATGCTCCCTGTCTACCTTGTTGTTGAATGATTATGGTGAACACGAGTTTCTGGTGTAGACCCCAAGATACAACGTTATTTGGCCTGTCTTTAAGCTCTAAAATGGTTTCACAACACCGCCTTTTAACTTCTAGGCGGTTTCTTGCTCTTCCTTGTTGGTTGTGGAGGCAAGAGACGTGATCCTTCTTGCTCCACCCGAGAGACATGTGGCCTTTCCTTGCTTCATGCATGTGACACCTGGGCAGCATATCCACCTCTTGTCGTACTCGTAACCATTGAATTCCTTCCCAAGGGATAACTAGTTCTGGGCCAGCCACCTTTGTTAGTGTTCGTTTTCTTCTTTTGAGAGCTAAAAAGATTAGAGTACTCGAGTACTGGAGTTGAGAACTGATCCTACCTTAGGAAGATACAAATCAATCTGTCTAGGTTTGAAGTCTTTGGTCTAACCTCAGTGGACATGACCAAAGTAGGTGGTTCTCACCAAAGTGGGCAACCAAAGTTATTCTTACCAAAGTTGGTTCTCCTTGAGGTTGGTTTTCACCACTTTTGGTTTCCACTGAAGTTGATTCTTACAAAAGTTGATTCCCATCTTACTTGGTTCTCCTTGAAGTTGGTTTTGTAAAAGGCATAAAAAAAAAATTTCACTTAATCCCTCACAATGAATCTTTCGACCAGTTGTGGGTCCTAAGTTGCCTGCCAATACGAAGTTTCCACGATTGCTTGTGAAGCCAAGTCAAATGAAAACTGTATTTTTCCATAAGGAAAACATGTCTGCTTTGTGTCCATCTTTTACCAAGGGTTTGCATGTATCTTATTTTTTAGCTAATGCATCTCGAGGGCTTACCCAAAGGTATTTCTCAAGCTGTATGTTACAACTAAGGTTGAAAAGACCATTCTTCTTTGGCTATAGGGGTGCTTCCTTCCTTGGCTATAAGGTTGAAAAGACCCTCAAAGGCATGAGGGTCCTTTCCCTGCCTAGGCAGGCAAAGTTATGAAGTATTGGGGTTTGTGGCCTTTAAAGCTCATGAAAGCATGCAAATTTAATAAATATAGTGAATTGTACACCTAAGTGGGAGTGCATGATTGGTTGATTGACCCAGGTTAGGAGGTCTATAGCCAGGGTCATGTTCAAAAACTTTTCTCTTGAGCACTACCATTGAGGATCTCTCGGGGGTCACCCCTTTGTTAAGGTCAGAGAGATGCCCCAAGGATGGTTTGTAGGGTAGGAGAACATTGTGTTCTCCTGTGAGTGGTTTCTAGGCCTGTTGGAGCAAGGGCTACAAATCCTCAAACATATTATGGAAAGCAACCTTGTATAAATACACGTCTAGAGAGAGAGTTCCTCTTGCAATATAGTGATACATGCATCAGACTTGCTCTTACCGGGATCTGTAATCCACATATTGGAATCGTGATTCTACTATTTATTGACCGGCTTTGGTAGGCCAATCATGAGCCCCTGCGCATGATTGTGGGTCATGTGTCCTATTGGGTAGGTTTGAGAAGATAATTGTGGATCGCAATTTTTAGCTTGGGTGGAGTGCCATGATAGTCACTTTTCTTGACCCATTGGTATCGATCCATTCCTAGATGTATTTTTTAGTATTTTTTATATGTATTTTCTAGGAACCTCATAAATATTGTTTTTAAGCTTTAATTATGATTATGCATTTTTTAGAAATTTTTAAAATTGTTTTAAAAGATTTATTTCTGCTATAAAAACCTAGAAAAGGAAAATTGATAGTTTATAATTTATAGGGGCCTGATAGTTTATATAATTTATAGGGGTCTAGTTTCACTGGGATCCATGTGAGAGGGCCAAGCGCCCAGCTCCCACATGTGGGTAGGCTACAAATTGGTTTGGGGGGGGGGGGGGGGGAGGGGGGGCAACATGGGGCCCACAAGGGCCACACATCCCACACACAAAGTAAGACGCCCTTATATAAATTTAAAATATTACTTGTTTTAACGAGTCCTGATTGTATTAGAAATCTTATTTGGATTAGGAGTCCTACCTGGATTAGAACTCCTACTTAGATCAGAATTTGTATTAAAATTATTTTTTATTTTAACTTTTAAGGAGTTCTCATTGTATTAGGAGTCCTATTTGAATTAGAAATTCTTAATTGAACTAGGACGCCTACCTAAACCAGGATCCAAATTAAAATAGAAGTCTGACTAGAAGTGGAATGGGTCAAAGGCTCATGGGATAAGGTTTCTAAAATTCCTCCAAAATCATGATGACTGATTTTTGGAATAGATGGCTCAGATTTATTTTTCTCTCTCACCTCACAGATTACCAGAAATCCTATTGGTCAAATTGAATTCTAATTAGGAGAGGCATACTCTTAACCTCTTGAGAACTTTTATAAGGGGGTCAACCCTTGTTTCATTGATTCCGTTTTCTAGCTTCTCTCCTCTCCACGCCTCATCTCTCTCTCTCTCTCTATAATCTCTGTCAGTTTTCTTCCTAAGAGGATGGAATGCACCATCCAAGGATTGCTAGGGTGGCTCGCCAACCCCAGCACTAAGGAAGGGAGCACTCCTATCCTAGGTTGTAGCAGGGTGGTGCTACATATTAGCATGCCCTAAGATCTCTCAAAAAAACCCTAGACTCAGTTCATGCTCTCACACCCCCAGTTCTTTAAATTTTATTGTCTAAGGAGCTTCCCAATATATAGAATTCAGCCGGACCAAAGGTTCAAGAAATGCGCCATCGATGTGGTAATCAGGTGTGGAGTGTTTATTTTTTTTTCTTTATTAGAAGTTCTAGATTGATGTTTATTTACAGAAATCCTATTTGTATTAGAATTCAAATTTGACACTTTATTTGTGTTTCTTTTTCTTTTTATTTTTTACATTTTCATTTTTTGCCAAGGCTGCCTAGGCGGGGTCTAGACGGGCAACTGGGCAGGTACCCAAGTATATGTCTGCGTAAGGCTCCCGCCTAGGCCCATGCTGTCTGGCTGGCCCCCTAGTCTGAGCACTGCTTTTGATGTTGTAGGCTAAAATTCAAGGAGGCTCGAGAGCTCTTAGCTTGAAAACTGCTAGGAATCGTTTGAAGTAAAATCTTGAGATGTGTATTTTGAATTTGACAGATTTGATTCTTTATATTTCTGAGTTTTACTGCATTTGAAACTCAGGTGTCTCTAATGTTCCAAGGTGATAATATTGTGGTTCATTTGTGCACATTTGCAGTTCAATTGGCTCTATCTTTGCTTGAAAACTTTATAATGGTTACGAGGAAGCGGGTGGTACTGACTTGTGCCCTTTTAGTTTTTGTTCTCTTGGTTTGTTTTCTGAATGATCAGAATTGATGATTTTCGGCTGGGCATTCTTATTCACTAATGATTTCATGGGACTCAAAATTTATGGAGGCCATAAAAAATGACATGACATTCTTTTATTGGACAGATCTACAGTGGGAAAGTTGTCCCATCAATCAACCTTTGGCAAGGAAATGCGAGACACTTGCAGTCACTGGTCTTGCTGAGTATGGAGATGAGATAGATGTGGTTGCTCCAGTAGATATTTTGAAACAGATTTTTAAGATACCTTACTCCAAGGCGCGTATATCCATTGCTGTTCATCGCATTGGGCAGACTCTTATTTTGAATACTGGGTACCACTCAATTCTATTGCATATGTTGTATATAGTGCTCACTATTTGTTATTTTCATGTTTAACTATTTTAAATATGTGACTTGCAAATAATAAGCCTATTTTATGCTTGTGAATCACAGACCTGATGTGGAAGAAGGAGAAAATTTGGTTAGAAGGAGAAAGAACCAAGCGAAAGGTGGTGATCAATCACTGTTCTTAAATTTTGCAATGCATTCAGTGAGAGCAGAGGCTTGTGATTGCCCCCCTGCACGAGATACATCTTCTGATGATCAAGAAAACCCCACTATTTTGCCTCAACAGTTTGAAGAAAGGGATGACTTCTTTACCTCTTCTATAAACCAGGCTCAATATGATGCTTTTCATTCACAAAATGTTGATTGTAATGTGGCTGATACTCATGCCAATGGGTTTAATTTCAACGAAGACTATTCACAGGGGAATCATGCCAACTTTTCTCTGAGAGGTAGGCATCAGAAGCGAGGTAGTAAACATGGTGCTCTCAAGGAAACGTCCCAATTTGGTGAGAGGTCCAGGTCTCCAATCCAAGAGTCAGAGAAGCATAGAAGAGTTGGCAACGATGGCTTTTTAAGGGTTCTATTTTGGCAGTTTCACAACTTCCGCATGCTTTTGGGCAGTGACTTATTTTTGTTTAGCAATGAAAAGTATGTAGCTGTTAGCCTGCACTTGTGGGACATCGGACGACAGGTGAGAATTCATCTTTCCGTGTTGTGTGTGCGAATTTTCGTGATTTCTTTCCATGTTTCTCTTTGCTGATGCTTAGTTTCTTTTTGAACAGATTACTCCATTAATGTGGCTTGAAGCCTGGCTTGACAATGTTATGGCAAGTGTGCCTGAGTTGGCCATTTGTTATCATCGAAATGGTGTTGTTCAAGGGTATGAACTCCTGAAAACAGATGACATTTTCTTACTCAAGGGTATTGCTGAAGATGGAACAACTTCATTTCATCCTCAAGTTGTCCAACAGAATGGCTTATCGGTGTTGAGATTTCTTCAAGATAACTGCAAACAAGATCCTGGCTCCTATTGGGTGGGTATTCTTTTTTAATTAAATTTATTTTATTGTCTCATTTATTCTTTTATAGTGAAATATTTATGATTTGAATACATATGGTTCTCGATAAACAGCATCTTTGTTTGGCCTTTTTCGTTTTTGGCTTTGGTTTGCGTTTTATAGCTATTCAAAAGTGTAGGAGAGGATGTAATTCAACTTTTCGATCTTTCTGCTCTGCCAAAGAATCATTCACCAGATGATCAAGATAAAAGTTGTAATTCATTGCCTTCAATGATGCATAAAGGCAGAAGAGATGCATTGTTTCAACTGGGAACTCTTCTTTATAGGCTTGCTCATAAGCTTTCACTGTCAAGGGTAATCTACCTTGGTTTATGAAACTTGAATTTCCCATGTGTTTGATATCTTGCTGCATTATCACTCACTTTTACCATTTTTATTTTTGATACTTGTAACAGGTTCCTAACAATAGGTCCAAATGTGCCAAACTATTCCAACAATGTTTGGAGTTCCTGGATGAGCAGGAGCATCTGGTATAGTAGCTACCCTACATAAAACCCAGGGCGCTCCCCTCTCCCCCCCTTCCATCCCAACCCACACACAAAAAGGAAAAAAAGGGAAAAAGAAAGGCAACCAAAAATAAACTAAAAAACAAAAAAAGAAGAAAAAGGAATACAGAGAAAAAAAGACTGCCCCAAAAAATAGCGCTATCATGTATTTAACTAAAGTTATTGGGTTCATGTTGCACTAAGATTCAATTAAGTCTAACCCTTGAATCAACTTCTTTTCATCTTCTATTAGCTGATGAGGCTTATTTGTATTGATTTTAAAGGTGGTTCGAGCATTTGCACATGAGCAATTTGCAAGGCTCATTTTGAAGTGCTACGATGAACTCAATTGGATTTCGGATTCTGTTCTTGAAGATTTTGAAGCCACAGTTTGTGATGTAGAAGATAAATCTGCAAATTTACCACTAGGAGAAACTGACTCATATGTTCAAGAGAAGAAACCATCCCAGAGTGTCAAGAGTCTTCCATTTATGAAAAACGCAGAGGATGTTCGTGATTCTGTTTCAGAAGCCTATGGCAAGATGAATTTGGAAACACATGAGGATGCTGGCAATAAAGATTCTGAATCGTCAAAAGGAAAGATATCAAGCAATATTAAAGAAACCATAGCTTGTTCAATGAGTAAAGATACCATGGCTGTGTGCCAGGTCTGTGAAATCCCACATATAATTCAAACCGTTAGTGATCCAATATCTTCAAAATTAGCGGCTATACATCATGTTTCTCAAGCTATTAAATCTCTCAGATGGCAGCGCCAGTTACGAGATTCTGAAGGGAAGCTCGTTGTTCCTAAAAACAAAATCCAAGATAGGGCTAAGTCACCAGCTGAAAAATTTTCTTTATGTGCATGTGGTGATGTTGACTGTATTGAAGTTTGTGACATTCGGGAATGGCTTGCGAAGTCTAAAATGGATCACAAGTTATGGAAACTTGTTCTTTTGCTTGGGGAATCTTATTTGGCACTGGGAGAGGCTTACAAAGATGATGGGCAGTTGCATCAAGCTCTTAAGGTTGTGGAATTGGCTTGCTCAGTGTATGGGTCTATGCCTGCTTGTCTAGATGATGAACAGTTCATTACATCTATGGTGAGTAATCCATCATCTGTTGCTAATGCTGCTGACAGAAATAGGAAATGGAATTCAGTACAAGATGGTGTATCCAAATTAGATAGCAGTTCCAGTGGGGAAGGTCTTCGAGTGGATAAGTTTCCATTCAATCACTTATTTTGGGCCAAGGCCTGGACACTTGTTGGGGATGTATATGTAGAGTGCAATAGGATAAGGGGCAAAGGCGATTCAAAATATTCATCAATAAAACAATCCGAGTATGATTTGAGAGTGTCCACGGAAGTTGCTAAGGAGGTTAAAAGGCTCAAGAAGAAGTTGGGGCAGTTTCAGCAAAACTGCAATATGTGTTCTCTGATTAACTGTAGCTGCCAGAGTGATAGAGCAAGCAGTGGGAATAGCGCAAGCAGTAGTAATGGAGATGGGAACTCAATGGCATACGGAAGGAACCAGAGCAGGAAACCAAATGCGAAGAATTCATTGCATTTACGTAACTTATCTTCAGATAAAGATTGTGAGGAAAACAAATTAAAAGTTTCATGTGGCCCTGAATTTGGAACTATGGGAATGAGCAAAACTTCTGCGCAAAAGTCTAGTCATTCTCTGCCATCATCGGATGATATGAAAGCTGCAGATCACCCTACCGATTCTGAGTCTTCTACTGGATCTGGATCAAAAGCTCCTGAAGTGATTAAGGAGAAACATAGAGGTATTTTCTCTTTCTTAGTAGTACCTGAAGAACGAGATATAGAATATTTTCTCTCAAGATCCATATGCTGCTATAATGCTGCTATGAAAGCATTAAGTGAAGTTTCTACTAGTTGTTCAGATAAGGAGTCCATTGTTAAGAAGAAAGGATGGGTATGCAATGAACTTGGTCGTTACAGGCTTGACAACAGAGATCTGCGAAGTGCTGAACTTGCTTTTGCAGATGCAATACAGGCATTCATGGAAGTTTCAGATTTCTCCAATGTGGTTCTAATAAACTGTAATTTAGGTCATGGAAGACGAGCTTTGGCTGAATTGATGGTGTCAACGCTAGAAAATTATAGGAAACATGAAGCTTTGCGGAAAGCCTATGATCAGGCTTTTGAGACAGCAAAATTGGAATATAGAGAGTCTCTGAAATATTATGATGCAGCGAAGTCAGTACTGGCTTTAGTCAATGAAGAGGCAGGTTCCCTGTCAAGCTCTCTCAGGAATGAAGTCTATACTCAATCTGCTCATACATATCTTAGACTGGGAATGCTTTTGGCCAGAGACAACGTAACTGCAGAGATTTATGCAAATGATAGCCTAGGAGAGATATATGAGGGTTATAATTCGCTGAAAAATGACAAAGTCTATAAGAAGGAAGCAAGGAAGCGTGAGATCTCAGCTAATGATGCCATTCGAGAGGCTTTGCATCTGTATGAATCACTTGGTGAGCTGCGTGGGCAGGAGTCTGCTTATGCACATTTTCAACTGGCTTGTTACCATAGGGACTGCTGTTTCAAGATGTTGGATTCGGGGTGCAGTGAAAGTGGAAGTTCGAAATCTGAAAACACTCATATGCAAAAGGTTAAGCGTTATGCTTCTTTGGCAGAAAGGAATTGGCAAAAGTCCATAGATTTCTATGGTCCGAAGACACACCCTATGATGTATTTGAATATTCTCATGGAGCGATCCGCTTTCTGCTTGAGGCTCTCCAGTGTTTTTTACTCAAATACGGTATGTTTCTCTGAAGTTTGTTACATAATTAGTCGGGGTCATTGTTAAATTTGTATAGAACTTGATGTGCAGTGTGTCGAAGTTATTCTCTAAACACTTAGTAAACACTGAAAGCACCATACGGTGCATTGGCCAGTCGATTGTACAATTGTGGTTGCAAATTTCAGACATAACATAGTTGTAGTGCTATTCGATACACAACAAACAGCTGTTATCAGTTTCCGAAAAACAAAACTTGATAGATCTATTTCTGTTTTCTCATGGGAAGAAACTAATTTACATAACTTGGTTAATCAGTGGATCACCCATAAATGAACCTTGAAAACCCCTAAGTTTTGGGGACAAACTCTAAAAAAGTTGGCAACTTTCTCGAAAAACCTGATTCGATTAAGACCAAGAAAATGATACTTTCCTACAAAAAACAAGTTGTCTAAAAGATTATTCTCACCTTGATCTTCAAAAAATAGGTCTGTTAGGGTTGCCTCTTGTTGGACGTTCTTCTGCTCTCTGGGCTGAACTGCTGAAACCAGTAGTTACATGGCAGAGTTTCACCACTCGACTCTTTCTTCATCAGATCCAAACCTTGCTCTAATACCTAGTAGAAAGATATAATCTAGATCCATACTAATCAGCAAGTATTAAATGAATGAATATTGTAGAAGAGAAGAAATAAGCTTCGAAGTGAAAAAAGAACATGATGAACAAGCAATGAGGAAAGAGGCATTGTGATAGAAAGGAGGAGAGAGAGGAGTGCATGAGAAAGAGAGGGAGACAAGTGACATGGCCCCCCTTTGGGGGATTAGTCACATATATATTATTAATGAAGTAGAAAAATTACAAAGAAATAGATTGTGTAAGTTAATAACTTAGAAATAATCCAATTGAATTACATATTCCATTTATGTCCCTGACTTATTGCTATACTTTGAACATTCCTTAGGGTAGGGGTTTGGAGTCTCTGCCTAAGTCAGGATTTGACTCCTTCCTCGAAACTATTACGTCTGCCATATTTCCTTGTTTGGAGAGTTCAAAATGCCAGAGTTGCTCTAACACAATAACCACCACGATCTCTCAGTTACACTTAGAAGCAGTGAGCTTTTTTTTTTTTGCTTTATTTCAAACTGGAATTTTGGATTAGATTTTCCATGCTTGGAAAGAAAATATCAGAATCTTGCTTCCTAATTTCAATCTGAATACACTTAGCTGATGTTTCTTCTTATTGTGCTGACAGATGTTAGATTCAGCTCTATCCCAGCTTTTGGAGGGGCGATTTGCTGCTGAAGGAGACAAACCTTTAGAACTCTCTCATGATGAAACTGATGCAATGTTTTGTAACCAGTTACAAAGACTACTGAAAAGCATGTTGGCCATGGCTTTAGCTGCAAAAAACACAAGCAAGTCTGATGATGCAATGAGCAATCGGGTTGGGGATGTAAAGAAACTCAGGGAGCTCTATAGAATGTCACTGAAAATGAGTGGGTTGGCAGATTTGAATGCTATGCATGAGTTATGGACCTCTGAATAAGAGCTGCACTCAACTGCTTTCTTGTTCTGTCATTTTTACTATTCATTCTTGTGGTAAGAGGCTTCTCGCTGACGTGTTTCCAGTCGTTACTATTCAAGATGAGCTAAACAGCATTGTTTACTGATATCTTACCTGTTGGACACCCTTAAGTTTGTTGAGAATTATATTTAGAATGCATATGTAAACCTCTCTAAGAGACGGGAATGTAAATAGAAAACATCCCTAGGGAAAGCTTCACGGCCTGTTGGTCGGTGTAACAATAATGACATTTGGCGATATGCCACCGCCTGTTTACTAAGATCATCATATATTGTTAAGGCGTGCATTCCACTATCGCGGACATATTCCCCCATGGCACACACGGAATATAGGGCCAGAAATTGTAGAGCAGCAGCATTCGAAGCGGTGGCTGCTACAAGAATGGAATATTCCAAAGCATTCACTTTTGGAAGAATTTGAACTAATTATGCCACAGTCGAGCGTTTCTGTCCAATCACTACAGACAATACTATGTCTCACTTTCAGAGGTGCCTGTTGAGTTCATTTTCTTTTGGTTCAATATGGCATCTATAGCAATAGCTGTTTTCCCAGTTTGTCAGTCCTCGAGTATAAGTTCTCGCCCAATTTTCTAAACTCGAGTATAAGTTCTCGCCCAATTTTATTTAGAAAATTGGATAGGATCTTTTACTGCTATTGCTACATGATACAAGGTTTTTGCCATGTGTTTTTTGAATTTTGTGACCATATGGGGTGGATTTAACCCTGCAAGAATATAATCGATTCCAAGTTTAAATTGTCAAGTATAACAGAAAAATGGAAGGCCGAGGAATCAAAACGATACCCCAAAAATTATAATAAATATAGAAATTTTTCATAATTGGGATACCCCACCCGTCTTGGTTTTTCACAAATTTTAGGGTTCTTCATGAGTTCATCAACTTCTTTCTTTCTTAACGTCTCTTTTGCTCTTCACTTCTCTTTCAAATTTGGAGCATGTGGTCAATCTCTTGTAGAACATCAAATCCCTTTCTAGGCAGTGCTATTGTTATCATTTTAGGATTCTCATCTTTAAACCGGTGGCTGCTACAACTTGGATGATAGTTTCAGTGAATTTGACAATTTTGATATTTATTTATTTATTTGGCCTCAATGAACAAACTGAGAGTTTTTCCTTTTTAATTTTAATTTTAATTTTCTTCACTAATTCTTTCCTACTAAGCCTAATATTTTTTATCTCTGCTTGGAATCATGAATGTAAGTTTTATATAGCATTTGGGTTTAAAAGCTGGTTGAAATTTTAGAATAGAATACTTTTTTAAGTGTTACTATAATTAGGAACTTGTCATAGTTTGTTTTAAATGCATTAATATGCGCAATTTGTTCTTCTAATTGTGCAGGAAGCATTTCAAATTCTAGATTTGGATCAATCTTGTTAGCACGATCTAAATTCTCTGACCCCAATTGCGCACATACATAGGTAGATCCCTGGGATCCACAGTAGTGCATATGTAGTTTTGATGGTAAATTATGTAAGGGTCAATAAATTTTCGTCCAAAGCAACATCAGACGAGAGTGTAGTGTAATAATATTGTACAAAGAAATTCCAATGGATGTTTATTAGAGATTGGAAGTGATTGAAATAACTTGGGCTACTACAGAAAGCAATGCGGTTCGAGGGAAAGGGAGAGGTGGCGGTAGAGGTAGTGCAGTGGAAGGAGGGTAAGAGAGTGGTTATTTTGCCCCTAGGACTGCGCCTGAGACTAAACGAAACTTCAAAAGTAATTTTGCTTGTAACGAAATCGTCAATTAAGAGTAAGTAGACATGGCTGTTGCCCAATTTATGCATGAAGCTGTCATGCCATTCGATGCAGCAAACTTATATTATTTCCAACCAATAACTAATGCAACAGCAGATCAGTTGATTTATTGTCCCATGGGTACAATATTTATCATGTGTGGATGCTTTCAATGTAATCAAAATTAGTAGTTGTTTTTTTATTTGTTTGATGAGATTGTTAAAATACTTGGTTCTCAACGTACCGAAGGGTTTTAGGCCTAAGATTGGTTGAGTTGGATTGCATGTGCTGCCTCTGTGGATTTGTTTTTAGCCGATATGGGAAATCCAAA